TATGGTGTGCAGAATGTGATTTACTTTGGTATTTAAACTAGATCATTCATGAGTGCACACAAAGGGAAATGATGCATAAACAGAGCAGAGATTACACGGAAGACTTATGAGGGCTGCTTTCAATAAAGATACAGAAAACCAATACAAATATTCATCTCCTCACGCACCGTTTAAACATGCTTCACTGGCTTGGAGCTCGCCCTGAGCTTTTGTCGGAAGAGGGGAGAGAGAGAGAGACACAGACAAAAAGAAAGAAAGAGACAGAGAGAGAGAGAGAGAGAGAGAGAGAGAGAGAGAGAGACTTTTGTAAATGCTTTGAGGTCTGTGTCCAAACTTGTAGAGTGAGTTCCAGTGCGAGCGAGAGAGAATCCAGGTAGCAGAAATTGGTTATAATATTCCAATTGTGCCATATCTCTCCATTTTAATAGTAAAACACTTATCTCCGATTGAGCGCAGGTAAGAAAAGATAAGAGGAGTCTGGAAAGTTTGAGCTGCGATCAAGAGGAACTGTTGCAACAAGTTTGCCTCCTGTCATGTCGGATAAGAGGGAAAGCAATAGTAGAGGTGTAAGCCAAGACCAAGGGTAAGTCAGAGGACAGGGAAATGGAGTAGCTGATTTAAAGGTTCAGGGTTGGGTGACATTTATTCTCGTTACAGATGTGTGAGAAGCCCATATATGGGTGGCGAGAGCCTTTTTCAAGCCATCTCCTGCAAAAAAGAAAGGTAATTCAATCTTTAAAGTTTGGGTGCTCTGAGTAAACTTCCTGACAGATCCTGAGTGAATTTATGAGGATGAATGTAGCACAAGAAGCAGACACTGTTGTATCAGCAAATAGGCTGGTCAACTTATTTGGCCCAACAGGTTTTAAAGCACACCGTGGCACAGAGGAGGGGGCTGAATATACCAATAAACTGGTCTGAGCTTGCTACTCGGGGGAGAGCTGAGGTATACTGTCAGCACACACTCAAGCTTAGAGCACCGCGGTTATAATATTTTACTAACCTTTAACTGCTCCAGGAAGTAAAAAAATAATTTCTACTCTAATCTAACTATCGCTCTGAGAGAAACACCGTTATAAAACCGAGAACGATCGTAAACTCTGTTCATAAAATCATAAAAGGGCAAAGCGAACCACTTGAGCCTCACAATGAAAGAGGCCAGGGTGTCTTGATTCCGCGATGTTCAACGCTGACCCCGCACTCAGTCTATCACTTCTATTCCAGAGCTCCATTTTTCAATCTGGAGGGTGCTAAATGTGTGCCAGTTAAAGTGCTTCACCGGGCCTTTGTTACAGCCATATTAGCCAGCAAAGAACAGAGCAACAAGGCCCTTCAGTCTCCACTCCACTGCCCCCGCTTCATTAAAACCATAAATCTAGATGTTGAAAGAAAGGTGATGGCCAGAGAATGTCCTCTGTCATCCGTATTAAAGAGGGGCCTGTTTGCTCACCAGCTACAGTTATGTTATATACGAGCTGAGCCTTTAATGCGAGGTCTGTAACAGCAGCTTGCCCCTCTTGAGCTGTCTGTCCTGTGGCAGAGATGGCGGGAACAATGTTTTTCCTACATCACCAACATTTTTAAAGAAGGTTGAACCAACAGAAACAAGCACAAACGGCCAAAGCGACAACAACTTGCTCATATGTACCAATTAATTTAAGATGTTATATTTAGACCTACATTAATCGCTTGTAAAGTTGTGGCATTACGGCCCATACCAAACCGACTTCAAAAAGCTAATGCCGACGACAGTCGACTGTTGCATCGCCTCATGTTGCTTGTGTCTTGGCCAAAAATTGCACTTGAACACACCGCAGAGACTACAGCCAACGTCAACGAGCATGTATGTTCTGCGCCTGCATGAGAGGATATATCTCCCCATAGCAGCAGGCATTGGTAGTCTGTATTTGTAATTCAAAAACGGAAATCGGAAGACCTAAAGAATGGATTCAAGATGCTGGCTAGCCAGTTATCAAATTAACAACACAACCTGCTGTTGAAAAAACAGCTGCCCCCAGTGCCAATTCAACATATGGAATTGGCTGAAAAAACAGGCGACATGGGCTGACTTGTGCGAACGGTGTGGGACATACAGCAAAAACTAGGGCAACAGTTGCTCATCGACGACCCAACGTTGACCAAGGGCCGACTGGCAGCTTGGTGTTTCAGGGCCCTTAGCATACTGTTAGCAAACAATTGCATATGTAGAAAACCTGCAGACAAAGAACAATGTTCAAGTTGTGTCTCTAGCAACCTGGTAAATGCTCTGTTTTGTTCTCCACCAACTCCTGGGAGAAATATCTGGCTCTTTAGCTGCTAAATCTTTACTTGTTGCTAACGTTGTCCCTTTGCCTTTTGGTATTGACAAGGTAGCTTACAGTGGGTCAATCAGAGCCATAACCTTTTGTGACCCGAACTTCTCTATAGTATGCATTTTTAATTTCTCTTGCTGTTTGGGGTCAGTAGGACCCGATAAGTATAAAAAACTAAACGTTGTCAATGATAATACAGTCCCAGTGTCCTCAAACGAGACGCGGTAAAGTCCCAATGTCTTCAAACGAGTACTTCCTAATTAACATTTTAGCTTGTTGCTGTTGCTAAAATTGGTCAAATTTGTTGCCATATAAAACTACAAACATTCTTAATCATATATAAACAACTTTCAACCACAAAATCTGATCATGTTTTGGACCTTGTCCACTTTTGGGTCAGGATTGGCTGCAGACTGACTTGGCAGAGATGGCTGCCATCTTGTTTCTACAGAGATTAGTTTAATTTTGCTCTGACTACCACTAGATTTCACAAAAAGTGTCCACAAATAAGGACAACAGGTCTAAGTTAAGAGGAATTAAGTATGTTGTTGTACTGTTGATTATTTATCAAAAATCTCATTGGGTATTTTCTGATAGCACCAACAGTCAACTCTGACATATCGTCACAATATCAATACCATAGTATTTGGTCAACAAAATTGTGATATTGGATTTTCTGCATATCACCCAGCCCTACTTAAACTAAAACAGTTAGCTGAAAGATGCTTAAGTGCTCCATGGAGCTGAGGGGAACTGCAGAGTCAGATAATAATTCTCTAGAGGCTCATCACTACAAGTGGCTCCTTTCCCGTTACATTTTGAATGTAAAAATACTGACTGGAGCAGCTTTAAAAAATTAGCCTGGAGCTTTTTAGCATATTCATAAGTCACATGTTGTGGACAAACACACAAAAAGCCAAATGTGGTTATTTTGTAATCTAGAATGCCTCCTATACCGTGAGCATGAGTGGAATCCTGGACCCTGCAGTGCAGTGTCATGCCAGCAAAAGCGTCTCTCTCTCTAGTCCCTGTGCTCCTTTTCCCTTGCCAGGCTACATTTACAGGCCTCAGGACAACCTGGCCGGCTGGCTGGCAGCTAATAGAAAATATGGTATGGGAAAATGACTGAAGCTCAACTAATCACACCGCCAATATCCATCACTGGGCAGGAGGGAGTCGTGAGAGATAAAGGGAGCGAAGGAGGAGGAGGAGGAGGAGGAGGAGGGGGGGTGCAGACAAAAAAATGAAAAGGAGAGGGGATGTAACAAAGGAGGTAATGAAGAGTGAGGAGAGGAGAGGAGAGGAGAGGAGAGGAGAGGAGAGGAGAGGAGAGGAGAGAAAAAGTGTCCTAGCAGTAAACCCAGGGGATTCTGGACCGGGTGCAACATCACGGCTCTGTTGATAGCTTTGTGATTGGGTGGTGTTGCTGATGAGAGTGATTCTCTGCCACAGTGGGTTACCCTCCGCCGTGATGCTGATGGCATTGTGATTGTGTGGTGTTGCAGCCAACTGTGTGGCCCTGCCACAGACTGTGACCATTCATCCCTGAATCCCTGGGGAACAAGAAGGTGCTCCCTAATCCTCACAGTGTTCCTCCTCATCACATTTCTGTTGGATCCCAATTACAGGACTGGGTTTTACCCGCCTGGACACACTGGATACAACCTCAGCCGACTCTAGTGCAGGATGAGTCCTGCAGACCTGACAAAGGAGCCCTTGGGGAAATCATTCATCCCGGGAGTCATATTTCTCTACATTTCTGCATCCACAAATGTAAAATACAAGACAAAACAGGGGCTGACAAAGTGGTCTCTGTGGCCAACGGCTATTAACTAAAAAGGTCATTCATCTGAAAGAGTGTTTGGGGGACTGGGGCCTTCCAGAGAGCGAGAGTCTCTAAATAAGCGGGTGAGAGCGTGTGGTATTTTGGGCAGTAGTCTTACTGGCCCTGCAGGTCTCCCACCTCAACCCCTCAATTAGCCAGACTGGAACACCTGGATCAGCAGGTGAGCCTTGCTCTGCTCTGCTAATGGCCCCAATCACACTCACAAACACACACACCTTCCCATTATCCAACTACATATTCACTTATGCACAGTGGCACTTTAGACTTTAATATACACCTGTGTCCTCAGAATGCTATCTAGGACACTATTTAGAACAAACACTTTGGAAGAACCCCTTACTTCTGGCATTCTATAAGTAGAAAAATAACTACCTGCAGAAGGCAGTGGACAGGTGAAAGCCAGGGTTAGAGTGTAGTCACTGGGATAAAGATAGCTGCGGGAAGAAGGTGAGATCAGGCCACTCTGACTCTACTGTAGAGTTCAGGGTTCCTCATTGAACTAAAAAATACCTGTCTGATAGCTGCTGGAGCAAGTTTAAGTGATCATACCTGCTCTGCACCCCTCTTCAATTAAGTAAACAAGGACGTGATGTGCAGCATAGCAGAGATTCTTTAAACCAACAAAAGTCTGACTCATTTAGTTGGAATTGCTGTGGTCGTTGTGCAATGGCATGGCAGTGCAAGTTCAGACCAGCTATGTTTGCTCTGGCAAAGGAGGTTGAAATTAACCAAACTTTGCTCCTAACATGATTTGGCCCACAGTGAGACAGAGCAGCAGAGAAAAAAATAGAAACACTTGTCATGTAGTTCCGGGAGAGCAGCATCATTAAGTGTTTTCTCACCTTGTGTTTGTAGAATTCCAAAACACCACGTGTCTTTTGGCCACAGCAGCTGAGATGAGGTTTAAGAGGAATATCGTGGCTTTCCAAGCAGGCGGAGATCCAGGTGTCCCCATCCTGACAGCAGCGGGGGGCCTGCCCTGCGGAGACGCTCTGCACCGGCTGGGAGTGGCGCGCAACCCAGGTAAGGAGACCCCGGCAGATAGGAGAGGCTCTGTGAACAACTTCCCTCAGCAGCTTCACCAACTCATGAACAAACGTCTACGTCATGCGCTGCCGCAGTTTCGCATGATGCATTAAGGTGGGCTGATTAAAGTCGCTCAAAAAAAAGAAAGAAAAAAGAACAGGTTAAATCACAGGCTGCTGAAAAGGAGGTGTGAACTTCCACTGTGAAAAGTTCCTGAGAGTCTCTCCGTGGTCCGCATGGTGGTTTTGAACCCTTGATCTCTTTCCTGTAAAGTAATAAAAGACACTAAACCCGAGTTTAAAGGTCACGAATCCACGCATACAGTCATCAGGATATCAATTGTAAATGCCAGCTGGTTTGGCAGCAACAAGCTGCGGAGTGCTGGAAGGGCGGATCCGCCGAGCAGAGGGCGGTGCCGGGGAAACTTTGGGCCAATCAGTGGACAAGGGTGTGGTGATGTATGATACTGGAGTGCAAGGTTAAATCCTTGAGAGGTGCGCCCACTGGTGTGGGGAGACAGTCTGTCACTGTTCCAGTTTTGCAGGGAATCCTGGGACCCTCTGTCCTCCTCCCCCCACACCCCACCCCACCCCCTGACATCTGGAGCTGGGTAGTCAAGCTTCTTTAGACATAAGTCATGCAATAGGCTCCAACACATAATTTAAAGTCCTTGAGCAGCTCCTCTGCAGGACCCAGGGGTACCTGGGTGCCTTTGAGCAGCTGGTTCACAGATTTTAACATGCAAACTTTCTACTGCATCCCCCTCCTAAACTTTCTTCCAACTTATAGTTACAGTATAGCTCTAAGTATCCAGGTAGGACATTGTCACAAGGGTGTAGGTTTGGTTTCAAAATTAGAGGGGGGCAAAATAAATGGGGTTTGGGGGCACCTCAAGGAAATTTTGAGTGTCATACACTTTATTTTCTGCATTCTGGTATTTTTTGTGCCCCCTGTTGTGCCTTTTTCTGCAAAAATTCATGGTGGAAATGCACATGTTCTAAATATAAAGGGGGATGTGTCCCCTGTTTCCCCCCTGAAGTACACCTGTGCAATGCTACATGTGGTGCGTTCAGGTACCAACACACTAGATAATCAAACAGTGGGGAACCACACTATCTCTTTGACTGTTGTCTGCAAGATCCAGATTTAATTCAGCTACACACTTGGCAGCAATGAGCTGTGAGTGTGTGTGTGAGTGTGAGTGTGTGTACTTGTGTGTGTGTGTGTGTGTTGATGAGTATTAATTCACTGGTTGTTGTCAGCCGCCCCAGGGGAGGGTGTAGTGACAGTAATCACTACGCCTCCATGGGCGAAAGCCACTGGTGGTCCTCTCTAATTATCTGATTTTCTAAAGTGTGTGTGTGTGTGTGAGAGTGTGTGTGAGAGATTACTATTGTTCCAGCACTATCACTCATCCGGACAAAGTTACATTGATAGTTTTGTGTTATTAGCTGCTGAAACTGCACGTTTGGCTATTTCCTTTCTGCAGGACTCCCTCCATCCTTCTCTTGCTTTCTCTATCTTTTATCCTGGCTATGTGTGTGCGGTTCATCGTGTACACGTGCGTGTGGCACTAGGACTCATTAGCTCACTTCCTGGAGGTCCTGATCATTAATTTCCCATGATGCCTCAGTGCTCCTGTGTGGCTAATTTGTCCCTAGTGAGCTAGCGCTCCCTCAGCAAACGTGGAGCAGACCACAGAGGAGTAACTCACTCTGCAGGGATCTCTCTCTCTCCCGTTTTGATTGATCTGTAGGAACAGACAGAGCCTAACAAATTTTGCAAGAGTGCCAGAGGTTAATAATGCTTTGTGAAAATTCATTTAATTCTCCCTCTTTTTCCTCTGAAAAACTTTCTAACTTTCAATTTGGAATTGTCTTCAGAACATAACAGTTTAAGTACTCAGTGGCCCTGCAGCTAATTCTTCTGTCTCCGACTATAAATTGACCAGTTTCCCCCCCTTGACTCAGATTAGATTGCAGAGAAAAGTGGTCTCATTTACCTCATGGGAGCACCAATTGAAATCTACAGTTATGATGCACCAAATTAAGAGCCGTGTTGATTGCAAAGCTGATGGATTTTGCACGTACTAATGGCCGTTTTAACTAAATAGGCAGAAATAGAAATCTTACCACTAACTTTACAGCTTCTCTTCACCCTCAAACCTTCTCTCTGTCTCTTCCTCCCCTCTAATATTTGTTCCAACTCCTGTGTGTCTGCTATTCATCATTATCAGCACTCTTTCCAAAAATCTTTTCCATCTTTTTTCTTCAATCTCTATCCATCATTCGTCCTAATCTTCCCTCTCATTGATCTTCTCATTACTGGTCAAATATGTTTTTACCCCACATCTCCTGGCACAGTTTATCTCAGCAAACATTTTTCTGTTATCCCACAGAGTTTGTCCTTTACTCCCTCATTCATGTGAGATTCCTGTGAGCCTTACATGCATTTCTCTATTGCATTAATTATCTGCGACTAAACATGCAACAATTAAAGTTTAAAAAACATGTTTATAGGTAGCTTTTATTTATGCGTTTAGCACCCAAAAACTCCAACACACTTTTTAAGGACTATGTGTGTGTCATGTGATCAGATCTGATTGACAGTTGCCTGGCAACATAAGCAAACAGCCCTAAAACTGTCACCACATTTTGATTAAAATATTCTCAAACCCTGATTTGTGCACACAACTATTACATTTTTCCATCTGAGCTTGTCCCACTTCAGACTGGTGAGAGGAACACAGACAAAAACACAAATACACAACATTTCTCGTGAAAAAAACAAAACTGGAAGACTGCATCCCTCGTACTAAGAAGCTGATGGTTTTCGGGGTTTTTACAACATCCTCAGATCAAGCTAAAGATGATTCATGAATATGTCAAGTTGAAGCCCAAGCTTGTATTGATTTACTCCAGTTTTCTGTAACATGTCGAAACCTGGGGACAGAGGCTCAAGAAGTGGTCAGCTGTTTTTTTCCCCTGTGCATGCACAGAACAGAAGGTGACAAACTAAAGAAGAAACAAAAAACAGCCAAGTCAGCAAAAGAAAATGTTGCATTGTACAGTTCTGCAAGCCATGAATGCGTTACATTTATACGTTTTATAATATCATTTTAATATCTCTAAAGTGACAATGAGCTGATTTTGTCATCAGGAGGAGGATGAGGGGATGGTTGATGGCGTGACATCTAGGTCAAATGCCACAGACCACTGCAGACCACTGTTCAAAACCAGCAAACCACAAAACAACTTGTTTTTTACCAAGTAATTACTATTTCCACTGACATTTAAGCCAACAACTGTGGGTATTTCTTAGCAACCTGTCGCTGTTTTTCCACCGGGGATACTCCCACAAGAGGCAGTTGTTTTATACTGAAACATCACTGCGTTTCCATCAAGGATAGCGTCAAAAAGAGCGATTGTTTTTTACTAAGACATCGTTGCGTTTCCTGTCATGATAGTGTCAAGAAAAGTTGTTGTTTTTAGCAAGTCATCATTGTTTCCAGTTGCTTTTAAGCCACCAAATGAAGTTGTTTTTAGCAACTTGTCACTGTTTTTCGACCAGGGATAGTGCCACAAAAAGCAGTTGTTTTTTACAGAGACACCGCTGCATTTACTGCCAGGATAGTATCATGAAAAGCAGTTGATTTTTATCGAGTCATTGCTGTTCCCAGTGGCTTTTAAGCCCCAAACCTGGGTGTTTTTTTTTAGCAACCTATCGCTGTTTTCCTACCAAGGGAAGTGCCACAAAAAGCAATTGTTTTATACTGAGACAACGCTGTGTTTCCATTCAGGATAGTGTCATAAAAGCAGTTGTTTTTTACAGAGACATTGGTGGCTTCTCCAGCCATGATTGTGCCACCAAAACCAGTTTTTTTATTGCCACTCATGATCTTTTCCTTACCATAGCCAAGTGCTTTCTGTGTATAAACATATGTTAACCACAGCATTGTTGAAACATAAAGTTTAAATGTATCCGCTACATAATAACATACAATTGTAATGTATCCATGGTATGCAGAAACATATAAAGCAAACATTTTTCTGGTGATCAGGTTGCAAGAAAAGTGTCTTAGTAAAGTGTTTGGCCTCCACAGACCTCCAGATCAGCTTTAATGGCTCTCGTTATAGATTCTGCAGGTCTCTGGGGATCTGTTTGAGGAATGAAAACCATTCCTCTGAAAGATACTTGATGATGGTAATGTCTAACAGAGTGCTGTCTTACAGATCCCCATAAGTGTTCACTTGAGTTGAGGCCATAGTCATTTGATTCATATTCATTTTTATGTTTATCAGACCAGTCGGTGACCCCTTGAAGTGCTCTGTATGGAAGCCTGTGCATTTGGTGGAGACCTTATTCAGTCAACCTGGCACATGGAAGGTTGTTAAAGTCATCCAGGAAAGGCAGCTACGCCTTGTAGTATTTTTAAATAGAGCTCTGACTGTGATATCTCAGCTCCTCTAGCTTTAGGTGTGTTGTCACTTCTCTGACCCAACGGGAGTGTGAAGGTGGAGCCCTGTCCTTTCACTTCAGGAAAATTAGTCGGTGGGCCAGAAGGGACGCAAAAGCCATGGAGTTTGATTTGGCTACTTGAAAGGGACAAGCCTTCTGGAGCAACTCCAAACACCCCAGCTACAGGGTTCAGTTGTATATTACAACCGTACATCTGTGAATGAGTTTCAGATATAGATGGACCAAAATGGGGCAATCGAATGACAGGAGAAAAACATGTAGTATAGGGTAGCGGGTACAGCATGACACCTCTGACAGGTGATTCTCTCAGTCGCAGATTGCCAGGTCTTATCAGGTAAGCACATTCCCAATTCTTCTTCCCAACCAACCTTCAGATGGTTAAGAGAGGGGCTGGAGATAGTTTGAATCATGTTACACAATCTTGAAATAGTGCCTCCCTGGTGAGCCCAGTCTCACTTCAAAGTTGTCGATATCTGGCGCTTAGGCAGTGACTTAAGGTGTCAGAAACCAACAAAAAAAGGCATCATTTAACATCATCGTAACATCGGCATGCTACGTGGATGGTTGTCATTATAATGTAACAGTGCCCGGTGGCGTCAGGGGGGAAATGCAGCAGGACAAGGAAGAAGGTTAAGGCGGCGAAAGTCCTAATGGGGCAGGAAGGCGGGGTGGTAGATGGGTCCAATAAACACTGACTTTCACCCGAGAGAGTGGTGTTCGTGTCCCATAAGGTTCTAAAGCCAAACCCTGTTCTCTTTTCTTAAACCCAACCACCTCCTTTTGTTGCCTAAACCCAATATGTGTTTGTTGTTGAAGGAAAAAATGTCAATTTGCGGTATTGTACTGATG